TTTGGATGATCTTCTCTCCAGCTGTATTTGGATATCTTTCAGCGTTTTTTGACGCCTACAGATACCCCCTCCAAAGTGTTCCAGATGTGTTATTTTATAGAGGAGTCTGGGGCACTTTGGATAAGACAGGCCTTATTTGCAATCCCTTTAAGGCTTGATTGAGTAGATCATACGGAAGGACTCATGAATGGCTTCAACTCTTGACTTCGTCATCTTTTAGCCTATTCAGTGCTTTGTAGAATAGCTAAAATTCCTCCGGTGCTGCGTTTATCGCGTGACCGTCGTCGAAGTCTTGAATTAGAACTGCTATTGTAGAGATAGTTTATACTCATATACTTTATTGGAGTGTTCGGGAAATAGTTTAACCTCATATACCCGTTGGGAGGTAGCCAGGTTATTCTTAAGAATATTTTGAGTGATATTCTCCAGAAACTTCCTGTTGATGGTAGGGAAACAGTTTAGACTCGTGTACCTATTGGAGTAATATGGTCTCTTTTTTGTTGGTAGAGATGAACCCATAATCGGAGAGGAAGAATTTTATATTCTATCTCCTGGTCTCTTGTTTGTTGGTAGAGATAAACCCAGAATCGGAGAGGAAGAATTTTATATCCTATCTCCTGGTCTCTTGTTTGTTGGTAGAGATGAACCCGATGATGGAGAGGAAGAATTTTATATTCTATCTCCAGGTGCAAAGGAAACTCAAAGTGGGATCTCCACTTAGAGAATCTGGACGGGTTTGAATAATCCTAACTGTCATAAGGTTTGATTATTTAACTGAAAGTGGAACTTATATGAAATGGGGGAGTATATAGCAATTTCAATGGTTTTGAGGACCAATTTAAAATATGACAGATTTGAGGGACCAAATCTAAAAAACCATTCCTTATAAATCTCTTTTATTATGTCTTTTTCATAAGATTAAACCTCACTTGAATATTCTCTGAACAGTATGCCTTCTAAGAATATTCAACTCGATCAACAGCTCTCGGTTCCTAATGGTCACGTAACCAACACATTAACTTTTGAGGTGGTAAATAACATCGTATATGAAAGAAACTTAACATGTTTCCCTATTGTTATAGCCTATAAATAACTAAGTGTTAATCTTTATTTAGAGACCGACACGTGTCCCGCTTCACTCCTAATGATACGTATTTCGTGACGAACGAGTCGAGCTACTCCTGCGGCCGACCCCATAGACCGACAACTTGTTTAGCTGACTTAAAAGACGGTGTTTGTCGGCCTACCCACCAGATCGATGCTACAGGCACCCGCACTCAGCCTACCATTCTAGCCGACAACTTGCGTAGCCGATTAAAAATGCGGTGTTTATAGGCCTTCAACTAGACAACTAGAGAGACGGTGTGTCCTCGAACCTCCCTCCGACAACCAACTATCATCTTCTTAAATACGCTGTCAGAGTCATCATTGCTTTAGCCCCCCATAGTCTTTATGACTCATCGGACATAGTCAGCACTGAGCGCTTGTTGTCGCCCTCACGTTAAATATTTGGATGACTCACTATTTCAACGGTCGACACCTATAACATACCTGCAGAATCAGTTGCCTGTCTGGACTAGTTGGCGAAAGTTACCTATATATCCTTCTGATCTATTTGTGAAAGGAAGTTGTGCAACCTAAGGTAACTTCTTTTGCTCACATGCAACTCTGAACTTTTTATTATCACTTATTTCTTATTTTCCCACTCAAGTTCAAACGCTGACTTGATCGTCGGAGGAACAACTGAAGACCCCAACTCCGGCCTCGCACGAGGTTTTCATGTGCAGGAGAAAACGTCAGCCTCCAGAACCAACCATCTAAAGGAGTTTGAGAACCCTAACACCACTATAATTTACAGACAAACCCCCTATTTGATAACTAACATTAACATCTATATTTGGCCTTCAACCCACATGGAAAGGCCTTCAATGAAAATATAGACTTTCTTGGAAAGGCACAATAACAGAGAAGAATTATTGTATTCAAATTTTTGATGATGGGATTTGAACCAAAAACCTCATTAAAAACTTATGTTCTGATACTATCTCCAGAACTTTTTTAACCAGAAGCTTAAGTTTTGCAGGTTATGAATAATATCTAGCAAAATTAACAGATGGATACTTAATTTGTGTTGGGTAAAAACTAAGCAATTGAAGCATGATATAGCCAAAATTTGAAGTATTTAAACGTCTTTTAGATTTAGTTACCTAATTTCTATGCAGAAACAAAAGCGCAAAATAAACAGAGAATCAGAGATCTATTATTTATCTAATATTTACTGGTAGGAGTGGGAATGCAATCAAACACAAATTGTTTTCTATCGTTTATGTTTCATTCAAGGATATACTACTTTCCTTTTGTTTCTGCAAGCAACCTAAGTTATTATATGGCTAAATATCATGAACCCCCTTAACTTAAGACGATTAAACGATAACTCCCATTAACTTCCAAAATATTAGAAGCAACCCCCTTCCCCCTCCCCGGTAACTTAGGATGATTACCAGGAAACCCCTCATAACTTTCAAAATATTAGAAGCAACACCCTCCCCCAAACCCCCAAAAACCTTAAGTGTAGGGGTTACCAGAAAATCTCCTTTTAATTTAGGATTTTACCCCAAAAAAACCCCTAACAGAGTTAACCTTAAAATTTCACATGGATGGATGCATGGGGATGTTGTTTTCTAGTGAAAATTGAGATTTACACTTTTAGGGAGGGTTTCCGATAAAATATTAAAGTTAAAGGGGGGTTTTGGATAATTTCATAGCCCCTAAACTTTAGGGCTTGTTTTGTAATATTTTGAAAGTTGTGGGAGGCTATCTGATAACCGATCAAAGTTAAGGGAGGTTATCTGATATAAAGCCTAATCTTAAATTTAACCAAGGCGATGAGATAACATTCAAAGTTGGTTTTTCTCTTTCAAATTCAATCAAGAAAAAAAAATATGGTGGCACACTTGAATCATACAACTCCAATTCCTGATTACGTGAAATGCACAAACGTTAGATCGAAAATGGCCTATCATTCTTCCCAATGTTTTTCCCCTGACTAATTAATTAGAAATTGCAAAACCCAAAAAAGAGTGCAAAACTTATCCCAACCTTGACTTTAAACCCAGAATCCTAAAACCCAACACCTTGAATATTAAAAAATTGCATTTAAAAAAAATGAAATTAAGAAAAGAACAAGAAATGAACCATACCCAACATCTTGTTTTCAGTGGAGAGACTGAAGTGACCCTTAGACCAGCAAGAAGAACAAGTAGCTGAGGCCATTGCTGGTTCTAGAGAGAGAGAATGTAGAGAGCTAGAGAGACTGTGTGCGTGAGATTCTAATCTGAAAAGATTTCTCAGAGGGGGATGGTGGAGGGAGAGAAGAGGTGAGAGTGGTGAGGTGTTAATTTTGGGTAAATGTTAGGGGAAGAAACCCAGAAATTTGGGATATTTGCACAAACCATCGGAAGGAACTTCACAATTTTGGATAAATTCCCAATTTGATATACCACACGGAATCCGACCCGACTTGCGACCCGGGTCGGATTTTGGGTTGCCAGGGGCTTTACAAGCCACTTAATCAAGATTAAAACCCTCTTTCAAGTTTAGGGTCGTGCTGTAGGTCCTTTTTTTTTATTTTTTTGTTTGCTAATTGAGAGATTTTCTTAACTAAATTGGGATTTTTCTCCAAAGAAATTTAGATCATTTCACATTTTCAGAGCAACGACAGTAGGGAGGATTCCTTGGAAATAGCGTATAGATTAGGGATGTACTCAAGTTTGAGTTTTGCGTTCACATTTAACTCTATTAACTTTGTACACATATTCCTATAATCTATTGGAATGTGTTGGACTTTTGAGTACTTTTACGTCAAATGTTCTATCTTACTTATGTTAAATAAACAACTCAAATGCAGCTAATTGCCAGAGTTGTTTCCACTCCAAATCTAGATTAGAGTCAGAACCTACACTAAGACTTCGATGGTCTTCAATACAACAATACTATTTGGCTCGCAGCTTATCACCCAAGAGCATCTCGCAGCCCACGTGGATCGAGCCACGTCAGCACTCCCAAAAACCCCGTGACCCTCTCTTTCCTTCCCCAACACCATTTCTCTCTCCTCACTTCAACCATCTGATCTCCACAAAATAAACCATCTCCATCCTCTTCCCCTCCCCCAGCCCCAACTCCCCCATAACACTACTGTCGCCCTCGTGACTCTCCCCAAAAGAACGAGATTTTGTCACCATCAAGCAGATCTGCTCCTCCTCCACTGCCATTAAGCCCTCCGCCATCTTTAGCAGGATGAGGTCAAGCTAGGGCTCGACCTCTCTCACAAAACCAACTTCATCCGAGACCAAATCGGCCTCCTCTTAGGCCCGCCGATCTCAAGTGCCCATCTTCCGCCGTAGTATCCGCCCGTCGCCGGAGTCAGCCCATCTCTTCAACTCTGTTCAGAAGCCCTAAAATCGAAGCGCTCTCTCTCATCCCCCCACTTCAAAACAGGTACCTTTTCGCTTTTTTAATCCATCAAAAACCCTCGATTTCGTGCAAATTTCACTTCTTTCCATCTGATTTGATATGATTTCAGTTTGCATCTTGTTTAATTTCAATCTTATTACAAACTATTTAGTACATGACTAAGCTATGGAGCATACAAGGATTATAGTTTGTAGGCTTTGATCTGTCTGTAACAGTTGGTTTTTCCCTGAAAAAACATTTTTTTTGTTTGAAGCGTAGGTTTATCGTTCGTTGGCTATTGGCTGTTGAAAATTACATCTCAAAGGTTTGGACTTGACTATTTTAGTGAATTTTTATTTGAGTTGTTCCCTTCACTCTGTAGTTTTCTCTCCCCCCACTAATTATGTTTTAGTATGTCAAGGAATAAAATCTGTGTTTTTCAAGATGCAGCTTGTCAGTTTCAGTCAATTGTTTGCTCAGTTTCTTTGTTCAGTTTTTCTGTCAACTATTTTTCTGTAAAGTTTATTGATGGATCAATTTGAATAGCCATGACAGATATTAAGGAGTTTAATGATTTAGATGATGATGACATGAATAATTGCTCGGTTGATGAGAGATATGAGTTGCCTCAGCATAATGATCAGCAGATTGAGCAAAATAAGCCTAAAATTAGGATGAAGTTTAATGAGATTGATGAATTGTTTGAGTTCTACAAAGACTATGCAAAGAGCAGTGGATTTCCAATTAAGAAACTATCAAGAAGGAAGAATGAAATCTGCATTGTTAGAAGTATAACTTTAGCGTGTGGTCGAGCTGGCAAACATAATAGTACTTGTCAAAATTCCTTAAAACCACAAGCAAGCTACAGAATTGGGTGTAATGCAAAGATAGCAGCTAAGTTAAATCTGGACGAAATATGGGAAATAATTGTTGTTCTGGAGCATAACCATGGCCTTAGCCCTAGTAAAGGTCATTTCTTTCATTGCAATCGAAGAATTAGTGCACATGTTAGACATCAAATTAATCTGAATGATCAAGCCGGAATCAAAATGAACAAAAGTTTTGACTCACTGGTACATGAGGCTGGTGGATATGAGAATCTGTTGTGTGATGAAAAGGCTTGCAGGAACTTGGTGGATGAATCAAGGCGTTTACGTCTCGGCGAAGGTGATGCTTCAGCGGTTATGAAATATTTTTCAAGGATGGTTGCAGAAAATTCAGGTTTTTATTTTGATATTGAATTGGATGATGAGGATCATTTGAAAAATATATTTTGGGCAGATGGTAGGAGCAGAGAAGCTTACAAAGAGTTTGGTGAGGTCGTCACTTTTAATACCACATACTTAACAAATAAGTATAATATGCTATTTGCACCATTTGTTGGCGTTAACCATCATGGGCAATCAATTTTACTTAGATGTGGGTTGATTTCAAAAGAAGACACACAGACTTTCATATGGTATTTACGAAGTTGGTTGAATGCATGGAAGGATGTGCTCCGCAAGGGATAATAACTGACAAAGCAAGAGCCATGAAAAATACAATTGAGATTGTTTTTCCAAACACTAGACACAGATGGTGTTTGTGGCATATAATGAAGAAGCTGTCAGAAAAGTTAGGAAGGTACACTGAATATAAGGCCATCGGTTCTACCATGAAAAGAGTGGTGTATGACACACAAAGTCCACAAGAGTTTGAAAAACAGTGGAATGAAATGGTTGACATGTATGGATTGGAGGATTGTGATTGGTTAGGTGAATTGTACGAGGAGAGAAACTGATGGGTTTCATGTTTTGTCAAAAATTGTTTTTAGGCAAGAATGTCAACTACTCAGCGAAGTGAAAGCATGAATGCTTTTTTTGATGGACATGTCAATTCAAAAACAAGTTTGAAATAGTTTATTGAGCAGTATGAAAATGCATTAAGAAACAAGGTGGAAAAGGAGATGTGGGCCGATGCAGAGTCATTTTCAAAAGTAATAGCTACTGCAACAACTTATGAAATGGAGAGTCAAATTCAGGGAGTCTACACTTTAGCAAAGTTTAAAGAGTTTCAAGCTGAATTTACTGGAAAGATATATTATGAAATTGTAAACTATCAAGAAGGAGCAAGGGTGATTGTGTATACCATTCAGGAGGATTTTTGGTTGGAGGGCGGCAACAGGATACCAAAATTCTTCACAGTATCCTTTCATGAAAAGGATTGTGAAGTTCAATGTAGTTGTCAGTTGTTTGTGTTTAAATGTATAGTATGTAGGCATGCCCTTACCATTCTTATCCGTCACGAAGTTAGCTTTCTTCCGGCCAAGTACATTCTAAGAAGGTGGAGAAAGGATGGGAGGCGAGCCCACTCGAAGATGAAAGTCAAATTTAATACTTGGGTTGTCACACTTGAACAATTGTGCTATCGCGAGTTATGTCTTGCATCTAATGATGTTGTTGATCTTGCTGCCCAAAACAACCATGAATGTGAGGTTGTTAAAAAATGGATAGACACCAAATTTATAGAACTACAACTTGCTAAATCAAGCCAGAAAGGAAAAGAAGTATCGAAGAATCATGATTTTGTGGAAGAAGAAAAGGAATATGAAAAGGAGGAAAATGAAAACATATTAGATCCTCTCTCTCAGACTCAGAAAGGTCGGCCTAGGCAAAATAGAATTAAGCCAACAAATAGGCGAAGAAAGAAGAAAATTGATCATAATGCTAATGTGTCAGTCAGCAATCCATCACAGTCTCAAGAGGGTATTTTTTCCTACACACAAGATAGCATGTTTTCAAATGCTTATATGCCACAACCAAATATTGTTCATCCATGGGGGGTGTATTAGCCGGTACAACAATTAACAAATGAATGTATGTAATTGGTAAGATATACTCTAATGTATTACATCAACATCTTTATTTTTTATGTTACGGATAGGATTTAATCACCATAGCTTACATTGATGCAAACCTTTTTTTATCACTATAGCTACACCCTTATATCTATATGATGTGTTATAGCCTTAATTTCCAATGCCTGGAGATCTAAAGGCGATGGGGTTGCCACCTATGTATGAAGTGCATGAAACCTATGGTGATCAGAGAAACAGGATGTGATGCATTAAACCTATGGGTATGATTTGCTTATTGGGGTAAATATTCATCAATTATGCTCTCGTACATCTTGTATTAAAATTTGTTTTTTGCATCTAGGGCCCTATTGAGAAAAAACCACCTAGTTTTCCTCGTTGAGCGCTGAAACTTTGGTTCCATTTGTTATGCAGGCGTTGAAACATTGGTTCCATTTGTTGTGCAGGCGGGCATTGTGAAGAAGGAGCACATTAAAATCCATGGTTTCTGAGAAGCCTCTTTTATTGAAGGACTGATTAGTACTTGAAGACTGCGTTAAGTGGCTTTTTGATGATTGTGAAGAAGTGAGCAAAATAGAAGAAGCTATTGACTACTGGTAGCTGTTGAGTGGCTTTTTGATGATGTTCATGAATTGTTTTTGTTTGAAACTTCCAGTAAAACTATATTATTTCATATACTGTTTGAGTTCTGTTTTTCTCAACATGAAATTGATGTATTGGATCAAACATATGTTATTTTAGATACTGTTTGAGTTATGTTTGAAGCTGGAGGGCCCTGTTGAGAAAAAACCACCTAGTTTTCCTCGTTGAGCGCTAAAACTTTGGTTTCATTTGTTGTGCAGGCGTTGAAACATTGGTTCCATTTGTTGTGCATGCGGGCATTGTGAAGAAGGAGCACATCAAAATCCATGGTTTCTGAGAAGCCTCTTTTATCGAAGGGCTGATTAGTACTTGAAGACTACGTTGAATGGCTTTTTGATGATTGTGAAGAAGTGAGCAAAATAGAAGAAGCTGTTAACTACTGGTAGCTGTTGAGTGGCTTTTTGATGATGTTCATGAATTGTTATTGTTTGAAACTTCTAGTAAAACTATGTTATTTCATATACTGTTTGAGTTCTATTTTTCTCAACATGAAATTGATGTATTGGATCAAACATATGTTATTTCAGATACTGTTTGAGTTCTGTTTAAAACTTTCAGCAAAACTTTGATGTATTGGATCAAACATATGTTTTGTTTGAGTTCTGTTTGAAACTTCCAACAAAACTTTGACGTATTGGATCAAACATATGTTATGTTTGAGTTTTGTTTGAAACTTCCAACAAAACTTTGATGTATTGGATCAAACATATGTTCTGTTTCTTTTGAATGTAACAAGTTGGGTGTGTGCTAAACATATATCTAAAGGTTCTTACTGTGTTTTTGTCACAATCTCAGCACCAAAAGAAATGGATATGCAATGTGTTTTTCACAATCTGGTGTAGCTTGGAAAAGATTTAGAGACAACTAACTAAAAAATCAAAACAAAAATTCTGTAGAACACTGATTTTCATAGAACATAGTTGAGTTAGCAAAATATTACAAGGTCCAAACTAAAACATACCCTTACTTAGATATTATTACATGAAAGATAGACATCATGAAACCAACAAAAATTTCAAGTAGAAAGCTTTTTCCTGGATATGTTTCTTCCAAATTCCATTTTCTTCCCCATGTATTCTTGATCTCAATTTCTCATTTTTTTCCTGGATATGTTTCTTCCAAATTCCATTTTCTTCCCCATGTATTCTTGATCTCAATTTCTCATTTTCAATTGAAAGCTCTTCATACTTGCATTCCATTTTCTTCCCCATGTATTCTTGATCTCAATTTCTCATTTTCAATTGAAAGCTCTTCATACTTGCAAATAAATATATTCATTGAGTCATGAGCGTAACTTGGTACTTAGCCATGATCTAACCAAGTCCAACAATTACAAGTGTTTGTAGCACATATTCCAAATCGACGACACGGATGCCCCGGGGAGTAAGAAGTCTTCATTTGTACTGGAATCCCACAATTGCAATTAGGAATCTCGTATGGAGGTGGACGATTCCACATTGCAGCATATAGCCTCCTATCAAAGAACCTTGCCCGTTTAGAAGATGATGATTGTTAAGAAGATGTTGACGACATGATTCTACAGTAGAAGAAAGATTTAGACCAAGTATACTGATTAGTAAAGGGACTAGATAACCATTTTAATTAAAATCCATACATCACTCTTTCAAGCCAAAAATTGTGGAGGATCCCACAAGCAAACACAACACAACAACATTTTCTTTCTGATCCAATTTGATTGAAATGAAATCTAAGGAGTTACTCAAGATTTATTATGAGAAGTTTGCACAAGGATAAACAACCATTCAACAGTTAAGGGTTTGATCAGGAAATCAAGTCAGTTCATCAAGCTTTTGTTTAGCATTCCTTTAGATTGGGACTTTTGTTAGGGTAACTATGAGGTGGAAAACCTCCCATGTTTTGTTAAAAAGATAAAATGAGATATCAAGTACAAAAATTTATATACAGCTTTTTGTTAGGCTTACTCCGAAAATAAATCAATCCAAACCATAACGTGAGGAAAATCTCTAAAACAGATAAAGTTAAAAGGATTTCGCCAAGAAGCAGAGTCAACACTTTTAACTAATAGAAATCCATGCACACTAGTTTCAATATTCAATCTTAAATTTATTTTGTTGTACTCATTTGCAACATTAAGAACTAGATGAACTGTGATAATTCCCAATTTGATAGGACAACTCTATGTTAAATAATGAATGCG